TTTTTATAGTCAACAAATTAAATAACAATAGATATGACTGCATCTAAAAATACAACCATCACACTGGCTTAAAACAAAAATAGGTTGTAAAATACAAAGCACATCTGCCGTGTCACCAAAATTATGATCATTGCCGCCTTGTCATCTGATGCCTTTTCTGTCACAAGAATCAGTTAAATATAGCTTCCAGTCAGTAATTATGTTTATAGTGTGAGCAAATCTTTACCCGGTTTTGAGGCTCTCCAGAGCTTCTTCCACCCCTTTCTGGTTATATTTCATCATGTGTGTGTGCATATCAGGATAGTTGCTGCGAATGTTCCTCTCTGTGCTCCCATTTGGAACCGTCCCGAAGCGAAAAGGAGGATAATGCTCCTGTGGTTTTTGAAACTGCAGAGACACAGCAGATGAGGGGAGAGGTGGAAGAAGATTATTGAAAAGGAAAAGAATAGAAAAAAAAAAACAGGATTCATACGTCTCTAACTGTTCCACATGTAATCAGATTACAACCAGAAACTGCAAGGTATGTCGATGGTTTTTAAGTTGTTCGACCATTGCAACGTAGTACATAACAGTGAAGTGGAAAATTGATATATTGTTGTCATTAGGGATGCGTGATATGTTGGCGTCAGCATTGACCAATATTAGTCATTTTTTAACATAATGGTATCTTCATTTAGCCAATTTTCATATCGGTGCATCCTGAATTTTTTTCTGTCTTTAGTTTTACACATTTTTGGAAAGTATCCAGAGCAGAGCAAATGAAGACAGATGAAGATGAGGAAGACAGCAAAACATATTGTAAGCTAAAATGGTTTAATAAAGAAATGTTTAAGATGTATCAGGAAAAAAGAGTTTGGGGAATAAAAGAAAAAAGACAAAAGTAGACAGTGAAAGAAATGAAAATTAACAACGTAGATAAGATTGTAGGTGAGGAAAGAGGATGAAATACAAAGAAAGAAAAAACATTCACAGTAAAAAGAGAAGACTTGACCAAAAATATGAGATGGAGGGAAACAAAAAACGTTTTTTTTTTTCCTTTTTTGAACAAAATAAATTTTGCATCAAAAACCAGTTGGATAAGCACCACATCATTACAAATGGACTGTTAAGCTCTCACTTGTCTCAATTTGATTAAACCTGACAGCAGCCACTGTGTATTTGTTAGAATAACTGTGATCCAGCTGAAGTTCATATTTCATGACATTCAGCATAGTGAAGCAGGAATATGTTCGTTGGAACTTAATGAGACAGTAAACAGAAAGAAGCTATTCATCTTAGTAACTGCACTGACCTTTTGAGCTGAGTAAAATGAATAGATCCAATCAACCAGGGAGTTTGTGAGTCGGTATGTGTGTTAAATATATATAATCACTCTTCAGATGGAACGCCAATAGAGTCAACTAAAATGCTACACAGAAGACCAATCGGAGGCTCACAGTTTATGCTGACAAGAAGAAAAAACTGCCTGTACAGCTAGTAAAAATATTGTCGGGTAATTTTTTATAAAAAATAAACAAATTGTTTTGGGGAATTTAGATTACACCATCTCATGGCTACCCTGTGTTAAGATATTACAGCAAAAGTAATCTTTCATAAATATTTTTATCATATGATGGTTGGTAATTGTAAAATATCCAAGTGAAAAATTACCTTTGGGGTGTCTGGTTTCTCTAATTGTTTTGTTTTTAATATATTTCTTTTTCTGGAGGATTTTGTTTGTTTTATTTGTGTGTCATTTAGTATGATTACTACGCTATTGTCTTAACGTGTTATGTATAAATTGTAGTAGTTTTAGCAGACTTGGACATCTGAAAATGTTGTGATTCTACATTATCAAATGTAGACAAAAAAAATCTGTAATAGCTAAACACTACATACAGCACATTATGTGTATTCTGTGTACTGGAACTATATCAGCTTGTATTGGCTAGTAATTAATTTTGTTTGTGTTGTCATATTGTGCCTGTGTTATTTAAATGAGTCTAAATCTAAAGGAGATGACACACATTTATTGATGATAAATGTGTGTTTAGATTGCATCTCTCTGCTTTAAAGTACTATATAAAGGATAGTTCTCTTTCCTATATACATATTTTTTTTTATCAACACACATTTATTGATGATAAAAAATGTATGTATATAAGAAAGAGATTATATAGTACTTTAAAGCAGAGAGATATAATCTAAACCTCACTCTTTGCTGTGTTGTATCTCGGCTTTAAATAGCACCTATTCACCTAGGATTTTATTTGTTAGAGCTTTTAGAACCTTTTCCCAGGTTGAATGTTTGTGTGAAAACATTCAAGCCATGAAGAATGTGTCTGAGACTTGCTCTTCTATTTGGCTTACTATTTTTCAAAAATCATTTGACATTTTACAATCTTGTTCCAACAGTGTGAGATACACTGCAGACGGAGACCACATAGTGGGGAATATTGATGGACAGACCCAAAATACTGACAGAACAAGTTAAGACTCAGACAGCATCCATATTGACAGACGGCAGTAATTGATTAGTCATTCACACCACTGGGCTTCCCACTGAAAGGCAAAGGACAGAGGCTTTCACGACAAAATCCTTTTGCTGGATTCCATCTCGGAGGATTTCTGTGAGTCAACTGGCTCAGTTGTGGTCACGGCCTATTAGGCGATGGATTTTAAACGCAATGGAGAGGACGCAACGCATCAGCATGAGCTGTAGATAAAGGCCAAGATGTTTTCACTATGTCTCAAAAGCCTTACAAACACGCCCCACTTGCATTACTGCCATTGTTCTAATTGCTACTATTGAACTGTTGCGTGTTCTGTTCCTTACCTTCTTGTCAGAAAGGCCAGACACGGTGTCAATATATTGCTCCTGGATCATAAAAGCAGCCAGGTTGGCGGTGTAAGAAGCCAGGAAGATGACAGCGAAGAAGGCCCAGACTAGGACCATGATTTTACTGGTGGTTCCTTTGGGGTTTTCAATGGGGACGGAGTTGTTGAAGACGATTCCCCACAGCAGCCACACTGATTTCCCTATCGTGAACGTCGGCCCACCTGGAGCTGAGGAAGGAAATTGTGGAGAGTCAGTGTTTGAATAATAAATCTGGAATGTCCATACAGATGTTTCTCTTGGGCTCCTCATATGAAAACCATGAATACTTCTTAAAATAAAAATATAATAAACATTGTGAAAACAGACTCAAAAATGCTTGACATAAATTCAAATATTTCAGAAAAAAAGAAGGAGTCTGTAAAAGGGTTTTTCATTCTGAGACTTATTAATTTCTAAATTGACCTGAAAGTGGATTTGTTTGTGTAAATTCAAATAACAATAAGGTCCTTGACAGTGCAAAAAAAAATTACTAAATATGTCAAGATAAGCAGCAGCTAATTAATGGAGAAACAATTAAATACAAGCCACAAGTGTTATGGTTGAGGTTTAAAGCTGCAGCAGTTTGTGCCATTTGAAGATGATCAATGTTTGCTTTTGGCTAAGATGAAAGAAAATTAACCCCATAAGTAAGATAAAATGAGATTATCATCAGGAGGCACCCATTTATACATTCTCAACAATATTTTTAATTCTTTTTCAACAATTAAAAATAAGTTTTTGTGACACAAAACACTGCATGTCTCTCAAAATATACATTAAAGAAAAGAACTTGAGCAAATCATATCTAAAAAAAAAAATAATAAAAAAAAAATTAAAAAAATCGCATTGTGTATATTCCCTGAATCCTTAAGTGGAATTGTCCATTTTCACAGTGATTCATTGTAGAAGTGATAACATTGTATTTTAGTTACTCTCCCTCGTCGTTGTTGTCCGCTGCGCTGTGTAAATAATCCTGAACCTTTTCATGCCCTTGTTTAAAACCCCACAAAAGAGAGGAATTTCACTGCCTCAGCCCATTTTCAGTGTTGCCACTGTTGTTCAAGCACAGCAACAGAGGTTGCCACCTTCATCAATCACACTTCAATTAGTGCAGCCAAGATTGCTAATTGAAACAAGGAAATGACCTTTCGGACCTGGATACGGGCACGATCTGCCAGTGCTCCATTCTGGGATTTATTGGGTCTCTCACAAAAATCTTGTTTGGGAACTCTACCCATTGCAGGACATGCAGACTGCACTGGATTTAGGCAGGCTTACTGTGTCATACGTGGTGTGATGGAAACTGAGAAGCTTTGAGGTATTTGGTGGGTATTTCTAGAAAAATGTATAGAAATGGCAAAATGTAAACCCATGAGTGGGGGATAATAGAAGACAGTATTGGAATTTTATTATGAAAACTTGCTTTTCTATTATTCATCCATCTTGTAAAACTACTTACACCCTCTGAAACTTGCTTACATTTTTAATATTGAAGCCCTAATTTTTATATGATGGACCAACACAGAGTGGTCTATAAATACAAACTGAGAGGAAAAAGTATACTTGACTTCTCATTTGCACAAATGGAAATACAACTTCCTATGTTTTTTATAGGAAAAAACACAAGACCTACACAAAAAAGTGTTTCTACAAAGTATTGAATATTCGACTGATCATACAAGAGTCGCAGACTTTTGTCAAGGCCTTTATTTGTGGGGGAAAAAAATAAAATTATTGTGATTCTAAAAAAACAAAAATACAAAAAAGTGGCATTTTATTCTCTTCGAAGGCACTGTACATGTGAAACAAAAATAATAAGTAAATACAACTCACCTTTGGCGCTTACCAGACTCCGGTTGTAGCCCACTGGGCTGAAATATTCAAACACAAACACAGTCACAGCCACAACGGTCAGGCACATCACAAACATCATGACCCAAACTGCTGGACTGTAGGGCTCTAAGAGAAAAGAAAAAAAAAATAAAATAAAACCACACACTTTGATTTTCAAACAAGAATTAAATAAGAGATTGCTAAAATCCAAGCTACTCATGTTGCTTTTTGAAATCAGTTGAGTGCAAAACAATGAATATTATTTAAAGGATCTGGGATACTTTATGTTGGACACATTTAGAAAGGCTGTTGAGGTGATTGGCTGGTATGCAAGGAGATTTAGTTCAAGATTGCAGCTACAGGTGGGATTAAATCTTAATGGGAAGTTTCCTGAGAGGCTTGTAGAGACAGAACAAGTGTAACTAGGCCATTCTTGGAAAAAAAAAAAAAGACTTAGAAAGATGGTGTTAACAGGGGAGCATGCAATACAAACGTTGAAGACCTATTTCTCACCAAGAAAGGCAGACGGCGATACTGTGCCGTTGCTACGCGCTACCATGACACTTATTCCCGTCTCCACAAACGGCACAGAGAAGTCAATGATTTCAGAGCGCTCCTCGTTGATAGTAAGCGAGCCGATGGCCATGTCAGCACGCCTGTAGAAAACCTGATGAGGAAAAGCAGCCAAAGAAAACATAATAAAACCACTGGAGGAAGAACACGAGAGAAACTGACCAGCTGCATTTCTTGTACCTAAAACAAGCACTATTTTAAATTTTATGACCAGTCTTTACTTAGGGAGACAAAGTGTCATTTTGCTATCTCGTTCCAGGAAGGTTCCCAAATTTCACTCATGCAGCCGGCCGAGTTTTATATTCTTCATGTGACTAAGGATTAGAGTGCAATTGTGCGTTAGCACCTGAAAAGCAGCTGTCTGAAAGGAAACATCTCTGTCTCATTATTTGAGCATGAAGGAGGAGCTGAATGCTCTGTCTCGAGATCGCTCAAATCCAAGGTGGCTTTATAAATGTTGCACACAAACAGAATTATACTGTAACACTTGCTGAATACCCTCGGGCACAGAAACACAAGCGTGAAGGCTCCGCTGCAGAACATCTGTTCAGAATGTTTTACATTTGGCTGGTGCTCAGTTTGATGTAGTTTGGCAGGTACACAGCCTCTAAACTGAAGAGAGATTCAGTCGGTCTCGGTGAGTCATGTAGCATTATAGTCAGAACCTTTTACTTAAAGTATGTGAAACAGCAATTGGGATGAACTCAGACTAACAATGAAAGCTTCATATAATTTAAGCAAAAGTGATGACGATGTGTTTTTAAAGTTAAATTAAGGTTAGAAATTTTGTAAATGTCCCTGTAATTATTATCGTTATTGGAAATTTGCTTAGATTTCTAGATTAAAGATTTTTTTTATATAGGTTTATTATGTTTCCTTAATGGGACTTTCAATTATTTATTTTTATTTTACTTTTTTACAAAAATGACATCAGAAATGGAGAAACTTGGTCACTAACTGTTTGAAGAAATACTTAATGAAAATTATACTCCTTTGATATTTAGTGTCATTCTTTGTGAAAATGTTAAAATATATAACTGAATGAAGACACTTTGGGGAATAGTGCAAAAGCTTGTATTATTTAAATTACCTTTCTTCTGCTAATTTTTCTTTTTTTTTAGCATTTTTAGTTACATTTATTTGAAGTCACAGCTGAAGATATGAAAATCCATATGCGGTTCTAAAGCTGCAGGTTGCAGATACTGGATAACTGATGAGCATTTTTGAGCAATACACATGAAGGATCAACGTGTATTGATCAATTTTAAGTCAATTTTAAGTCTTTGTTGGAGGGACACTGTTTACTAACCCGTTAGTGTAAAACTGCGTCAGCATTCAGCCTTACCTCCCCAATCATCCCGTTCCAAATCCCATGCACCAGTTTGCCGTGCTTTCCGTTGGTGACCAGGTAGAGATCGAAGGAGAACTTAATTGTTTTGGATAGCTTCTTGAGGATATCTATGCAGAAACCTTTGCAGCACAGTTTGGTGTAGGACTCGGATTGGGCACTGCTTGTAGAAAAATGAGATAAAATAAAGAGAAAATGCTGTCAGACGTATTACAACATATTTTATTTTTACATTTTCTAATCTGATAATGAAAGACTCTCTCCGTTGCTATATTTGGCTTAAGGCATCAAAGCGGTTGTACTCGTTTCGCAGAGTGAGTGCTAAATACTTCCAGACTCTCATGCTGACAGCAACCATTGTCAGCTGCGGCAAAGTGAAGGACAGGAGCGCTAAGGTTCATTAGCTAAAATCAATGGCGGTTAAAAGGTGTATTTCAAAGACTTGGAAGGGATGCCACAAAAGCTACACAAATCCACTTTCACACAGTCCCACAGAGGCCTTGGTGAAGGGTTGCGTGACTCCGATGGCCTCCAATCAACATCTATTACGGTCTGTTGTTTTTCCAGCTTCCTCTGTGTAACCTTGCTACTTACTGAGGTGAAAAATAAGACGAGAAAGTCCTCGTAAATATAGGCAAAATGTAATCGAACGCAAAGAAAAAATGTTTATTTCTAAGTTAGATGGGAAATTAGGTCAACAGATGAAACAGCAGCTACAATTCCTGCCAAAAATCTATTAAGGACTGTGCGTGTTTGTGACCTTATTAACTGAAGGATCCGTTCAGCATGTCAGCAAGTGAACATAAGCGTTGAAAAATGATAAAGACAACCTGTCGGCAGGGTTGGGGGGGAATAAATGAGCCACGCATAAACAAAGAAAAAAGTCAAGTGAGCAATTAAGATTATTGCTGATTGTTTTCCAGAATGTTTATTGTGGATAACATAGCTTCACGAGGTTTTGCTGCCTTCATGAGACTAACTCAGAAAATTAGAGTGTTAATTAACTGCTGTAGGAGCCGGCCACCTGTCATCATTAACCACACTCTGACTGCCATTCTCCTCACAAACAGTCTGAAACTGGGCCGCGAACACACAAACACATGTTCACATGCAGCTCACTTTCATCTGGGAATTTGTGACAGTTATGTGTTCATGTTGCAGTGTGTGGTCACCGGATGAAGACAACAAAAAAATGCACAGAAAGTGGCCACAGTGCGGAGGAGAGCATGAGGCAGCTGGACCAAGAAAGAGGAAGGGAAAGGGTAAACGGCTGACAAGTCACACAGGGCAGCGGCTCCGTTTGGTGGGAAAGGAGGGCAAGAGGAAAAGAGGACAAGAGGAGAAGATGAAGCAAGAGATGAGTTTGTGACTTCTCGGTTCGTACAGAAACCGAAAAGTAAAACAGGGTTAAGTTATTCCAGTCCCTGAGCTACAGATGATCACAGCAGTTATTTTCCTCACATAATCAAGAACCTAATTTTACTAAAGCTTCTAATTTAACCGATAACTGCTTTCATTAAAAAAAAATAAAAAAAATAAATAAAGTCAAATTGCTTTTCATTGTGAATTTAATGTGTGGACTAGCTGCAAAAAACACAAAATCTTACCAAGTATTTTTGTCTAGTTCCTGGTGCAAATATCTTGGTGCACTTGAAATAAGGCAAAACTGATTTACAAGCAACTTTTCTGCAAAATACAGGAACTTGTTTTAAGTCAATAATCTTTGAATATTGATAGAAAGTGCTGTTTTGTTGCACTTTTAACTAGACGTTTTTCCTACATTTTGAGTGGAAATCACATTGTGCACACAAATATCCTGATATGTCACGTTCCTTTTGCATATCATATAAATAATCACATTGAGCCACTTTAGCCACAAATGCCAGGGCCATTTTCTGGTCCCAGTTTCTTTAGAAAGAAAACTTCTTAAATCAGTTTGAGTAAAGACCTGAAATTAATGCACCATTTGATAAGTAGGATCAATTGGAAAGCATGTATTATTAAACAGAAATGCACTTCATAAATAGGCTAAATTAGATCGTATCTGATTAAATTTTCTTTCTGACTACTACTTATTCAGAGCTCAAAATCAAATGATAATAAAACAGAGAAGTTTATGTTCTGTAATCAACGAAACAAGGACAGAAAATGCTGCAAACTTTTTGCTTGCAGGATATGAGGTATATATATTTTTTTACCTCATAACAATAAAACTGTTCTTTTAAATCAAAAGGGTTTAATTGTGATCTACATGACAACTAAAACTATATTTTTATACGTATGACAGGAGCACATGTTTGTCATGGATGCTGGCTGACTCGCGATGAAAATGTCACATGAAGGATCATCCATTTTCGACAAGCAGGATCATAGCTGTGATACTGAATGATGAAACTGGATGTAAACACGAGAGCCACCTATTTTCACACCATTATCAGCTTATGTTGAGAAAACAAAAGTTTGTTTCTCTCAAGCAAATAAGATTTGTAGGTTCAGAGAAAATCACATCTAAATTAATCATAGCAGGAACAGCTGTACACAGCTTTTGTCTTTTTTTTAAGAATCTTAGGTGTTATATTTGCATGCAGTAAAAAAAAAGAAATCTAGTATCTATTATGTATATTTCAGAAAGCAGAGACTTAATTTTCTAATGTTCTATTTAAAGTCTGAAATATACAAACAAAAATGGAGTACCACACAGAAGTGGGGAGGATTACCAGTACTTTTTAAAAATACGTTATAGTATATAAGTTATGCAGCACTAGAAGTTGTGATATATAAATAAGTAGGATATGATTCAAATATGATCTGTTTTCCCAACTTGTCTGAAAGAATCAATGATACAAGCATTTTTTATATAACTGTTCTAGTTATAGCTGTTGACAAATATTAACTGGAATAATAGCAAAAAAAAAAAAAAAGTTTTTTTAATATTAATTTAGAATGTTTACCCCACGTCTTGCCAGATGGCTGCTGGAGTCGTTTCCATTCAAATGACTGCTGGAGGTAAGCAACACCCCTCTCACCAATGCGGCATCTTTTACTATCAGCTAACCTGAAATAAATCCCTTCAGAAGTCACCAAATAAGTGAAGAAAGTCCATCCCTGTGTCTAACTGTTCTGTTAAGGTGTGTTAGAGAACATTAGAGAACACACAAGATCATGAAGACCAAAAAATGCAGGTGAGGTTTACAGTAATGAAGATGCAATAGGTTTTAAAATCAGCCTTAGGTCATAAAAACTACAGTGGTCACCAGCTGCAATAGCAGAGCAATCAGTAAAACGAGCTGAGAACACATGAATGATGCAACAAAGAAGAAAACTGCAAGTAAAAATGTTGCAATCACAGAAAAAGTCATAGTCATAAAGTAGGATAATAATCTAAAGCACAATAGTAAATCCATGAGAATATGGCTTAAAATAAGGATGAAATAAAGTTGTTGGAATGGACCAATAGAAGTCCACACCTCAACTTGATTGAAATGGTGAATAGTGAAAGAGAGATACAAAGAAATAGATTGCCTGAAAACCATAAGGTTTGAATTAATGTTTTTCTTTTCACTGTACATAAAGTCTTTAAAAAATGGTAAAAATATCCATTGCAGGAACCTACTGTAGCTGGTGGAAAAGACTTCATAACCTCAGCTGTCTATAAGAGACTCTACTTTTCACAAGGTCAAACACTGATGCTTAGTCATAAATATTTACACAAATGCATCAAATCTTTCCCTAATAATTTTGTACTTATATTTTATAGGACACAACTACCAGTGACAGATCAGCGATATGCCATTTCAACTACTGTAAAATCAGCCTTCCAGCGAAAGCATCTGGCCTGGATCTCAAATAGGCTTTCTTATCTGATGAATCTGCTGCATGCACCAACTAACTGAACATCTTTGGATAAAATGTCTTGAAATGGAGAATAAGGCATTAAAGATGATGAATGAACTGACAGTCGCTACAGGAAGCGAGTACTTCATATTTTTTCTTATCATTAGATTTTGTCATCCTCAAAATAAGTCATTCCTAAACGTAAAAAAAAAAAAAAAATCCTCATAAGTCACAATTCTGCATAGGATTTTTACATCGGCTGCAAGTGGACACTTATTTACTCACCGATTATGTGCTTGAAACAGGCTAAAGGAAAAAGTGTCAGGATCTGAGTAAGTTTGGCAAGGTCTAAATTGTGAAAATTCAACAAGTGGGTCTCAGCACATCAATCAAAATGAAGGAATGGACATCAACCAGTGACCAACACAATGTTAAAGAGGTGGTCATAATGATATGCCCACTTGGTGTGCCTCAATTTTACTTTGGTCAGAAGTTGGGGGACAGCTGGATAAAACTCTGACAAGAAGAAAATTCTTAAATTAGCCAAAACTGGACAAAAATACCAAACCTGGTAGTGAAAGCCAAGCAACTTTCTGTCAAACACCTAATCGAATTGTGGGCAACTACTTCATAACCCACATTAAATTGGCATCTGGTCAGTGCATAATTCGCCACACTATAATACATCAGATAGACAGAAGCTGGAATTTAGGGATGAATTTATGCTCTTAATCAGCACAGAGAGGTGGGCTCAGCCCCCTGGCAAAGGAAGCTATCATCTGTCCAAGGAAGGGGCCTTAATGAGCAAGACAAAAAGTTTTAATCATGCTAAACATCTGCTGTACGGTGAAGCTTCTCAGAGTGCCACAGAAAGATTATGAGATTTATATAGCAGCAGTCCGCTCTCCTGCTTCCTGTTTGTTGGTATCAGTCCAAATGGGACAGAGCGAAATAGTGAAAGAGAACCAGAAAGAGGCTACGTTGTCCCATGCTTTGACAGATGTCCCAGTGTTGGACAGATAAATCTTCTTTACTGGCAGTCACTGTTTGGTTGCACCCAAGAACAGCCGGTACGTATCTCTTTCTATAATGAGTATCCATGAAAAGGTTATATACATGAAACGGAGAAATATATATATATATATATATATATATATATATATATATATATATATATATATATATATATATATATATATATATATATATATCTTCAACGCATGTGTTCCACTTTAGCATACCACATTTCTACCAAACAAAATACACATACAATCTGACAAAATATGCAAAAGTTCAATAGGTATGAACGCTTGTGCAGGACGCTGATTCTGTTGTCGAGTCGGAAACTGTGAAGATAAAAAATGAAGGCGTGTGCTAGAACATCCTCTCCGATGTTTGTACTGGTTTGAACATAATGAAGAAGCTGCATCCCGCTGATGGTGTGGAAGCAGCTGGAGGTAATAGCTGTTTAATGTCTGTTTTCTGCCATGCACCAATCTGTGTTTGACACCAAAGGTGTGTTTTTAAACAGTTTCAAGCAGACACAATTACTCTGCGTTAAATGAACTGTGGAGGTTTGCAATGAACTTAACTAGAGAAGACAAAAAAGGGAGGGGGCAGATGTCTGGCTCTTATTGGAAAGTCTAGCTCTGTGGGCCTAGAATTATATTTGAACTTACATTGTTTTTTATAGGAAAAGCTAAGGACAGGGAGGCATACTCAAAATGTTTCTGTTCATAGATTTCACACATTACATTTTTGTATTTCTCAGAGATCGACGACTAACTGTATCCGGGTCAAAATCTATATGTTTGTGTATATGATTATGAAGGTCATTTGTATGAACATGCAGGAAGTTTGTATCCTTGCGTGTACCTGTCTGTGTGATTGGACTGACGCCTGCAGGGCACAGTGTTGCGGACACATGTGCCGGTTCCCGGGTCCACGTTCTCGACCATGACAAAGGGATGCTCCTCGAGGGTGGCCACCGTCAGGTGGCGGTCATCAGATATGTGCTCCAGGAAGCTGCCGTACCGCGGCCAGATGGGATAGCGAACCTGAAGGATGCCGCGAGCAAACGTGCCCACCTGAAATGGTAAACGCGGGAGGGGAGGGAGACAGAGCTCATTGGTAACGCGAACATTCCAGTTCGCATCTGAAACGACCTTCATGTCAACCTTTTTCTATTTCACATGCCATTCCCCACAGGCATGGGTGAATTTATTAAATTATTTAACAGCATTTGCATGTGCTGACCTGGGGACTGGAACATAAAAGGAGAGTAGAGTCGAGTTTATTAACAGATTCTGCACAAAGGAAGTGACAAACACCTACAGCTACAGCACCACATTTATAATATAGCTCATTATGAGTTGTCTTCGTTATGTGTTGATTTTTATTTTTTTTATTTTTTTTTTTACTAATACTTCAGTTAATAATCTTTCTGATTAATTAAAAGTTATACTTCATTTATGTGGACAGTTCCAGTGACAATGTCTGAGATCAAACGGCGCCATTGGACGGAAACATACCAGACAGATACAATTCTGGAGAAGTTTGAAGAAAATTTAAGTTGTGAAAAAAATATTTCAAGGAGTACTTTTCACACCTTCATTAAATAACGAAGCAAATAGTAAATATGCAAATCCACCGAGATGTGGCAGGGCATTTAAGATTGTGATTATAATGAAAGAAAACATGTTGAAAGTTAAAGGGATGCTCAATACCTAGAATGTAAGTGTAGAGCAAATAAGATCAAACAATAAAAACAAAATGAAGATCATTTCTACTGAAGAAACAAATATGATTTTGCCAATACAAATTGTCCCTTAAAAGCACCAAACAGATATTAAAAATAATCTGCAACAACTTAAACAGCCGTGTAGTCACAGTTGAGGTAAAAAAGCTTCAAAAGAGCACTGTGACATGTTATTATAACAGACAAGGTGCACAATGTGACGGAGAGAGGTAGGATAGAGTATCAGAAAGTGATGAGATGAGACCAATTTCCAACTTAACATGAGGCCTGTTTTGTTGCCTGCCAACTTTGACTCTCATGGGAACATGAAGACACAACGTGACCCGAGATCATTTGAGAGTTTTGCACATTTACAGCACAATTACACATCCAGGTTTGTACACACATTAAAACATACAGTTCTGCCAGGAAGTGACATTGACAAAGTGGGTTAGTCTTCCCAGGACAGAAATAAATGAGTTCAACCGCAGCAGTGAGATTACATTCAGACCTTTCTGGTTAGTCGCAGTTTTTCCAATACACCCTCAGGCTCCAACCGTGTGTGTGTGTGTGTGCTGCAGTGTGTGAAAGGGAGTAAAAACACTGTAGAGTGCATGGTAAGGTTGTGAATAACAAGAAAGAGATGTCTCCTCCGCAAATCAAAAAGGCATTTGAATATTGAATTTTGTGTCCTCTTAAAGACACAAGTGCACCGCAATGAATTAGAAATTTAGTTTAAAATGTCAGGAATTCAATTAAAAACACGTCAGTGTTCTGTAGTTTAAGCACTCATACTTGGTTGTGGTTATTTTTTCACTATTCTGTGAATCTATAATCTCTTAAATGGACTTTTTAACCTATTGAAGGGTCTCCAGGGTTTGTTGCCTGTCCAGCATGTTAACAGGGGTTTTACACTCTACTGAGTGACACTCAACCCATTGTATGAGTTCTACTGTTATAATTCAATGACTGAAAATTAAATTAAAGGGAAAGACATTTTTTTCAATCTATCTCTCCAAATTCTCTAGATGAATTAGAAAATAAATTTGGAGACTCTATCTTTGCTTTAATTGATGTTCCAAATGACTGACATTAAAAGGTTTTAGAGCTCAAAGCATCGTGATGAGGGAAGCGTGCTATACTTTAAGCAAGGGTGTGTGTTTGTATTGCAAAGTCTGTATTTTATTTGCTAAAGCTGAGGCTGGTTTTTAACATTTTTAAACCTGTAGGTAAAATAATTTAGAAAATGTTTTCAGTAGTAGCTGGATTACAGACAGGCACAGGCATCAGCAAGCAGAAACATGGACAAAGAGATGCTCTCAGGGCCATATGGCTCAGGGTGATGGCACATCTATATTTAGCCTTTTATATTCTGTAATAACAATAAAATGAATCTAATTTGAAATTGCTCCCTAAAAGGAGTTTTTTTTTTTTTTTTTTCACTTGCATCTAATTTGAACATTAAAGTAAAAAATAAAATTCTGTAATGTTGGGGAATGCAAATATCAATTTCTTGCACAACAGTTATATATATCTGATGCAGATTTTTATTATGCACCAACACCATGGAGAACAAGGTTCTTAAATCTGAATTTTGGTGCCACAGAACAGACAAGTTTTCATTAAACTTTCTTGTAGACTGTTTACCTTGTCCCACAGTCTCTCCCGGTCCAAAGCAATGATGACCATAGAAGGGTTGGATAGAAAGCCTTGATTGTTGAATGACAGGTCTTTTTGTTCCCACGTTACATTCAGCATGTGCCTACATGTCCAACAGAGATAAAAGCACAAAAAGTAAGCAATCAAAGGGCGTAGCTTTAGCATTCCACGCACTGGATGTTCCATATTCATTTAAACCAACACACACTCACAACAACCTGATTCTAATCAAGCCTAAAGCTTTCCTCAGAGGGTTTAATTTAATGTCTTGGACGGGAAGCAGCTCATCTTAGTTGATTGGTTGAATGTCAGGATGATGCTACTAAATGGTCTTGATACTTTTTAAGGTCTAATTCCAGGACAGACTGAGTTTTGAACAATTAATCCGCAGGCTGATTTAAAATTTACAACAAATGTAAAAGAGGTACAAACAATGTCTTTTCAACAACATTTACTCCACGCCATGCTCTGAGGATTTCATAAACTGTCCTCATCTGCAAACATGGAGGCAACAATCACTGCTTAGCGGAGCGGAAGGAGATCTCTAATGAGATCTGATGTTCAGAACACCACAATGTTTTGTTTGAATGAAAACTGTCCCAGGATGTGTGATCCAGTTGCTCTCAGCATGTGTATTCATGTGATGAAGTGACTGCATGTTGTTATTATGGCTACTATTACACACAGTGTGTGCATGACGTTGACTATTTACCTATTAATTTGCCCCTGCGGTTTGCTATTTCCTCTTTTCTTCCCTTCATTTTGTTCTCATAAACCAACCAGTTTCACATATTCACTTAAAATTGTATTTTTTTAAGTAAAACAGTTATTTTTCTTAGTAGTTAAGCATTTTTTAATATAACTTAAGAGATGGGTATGGAAAAACCTGCCCAATCTCACATGTAATTTAAGTTATTCGCATATTATTTTCCATGACACCAAATTTTCATTCATTTTGGTTCTGATTGGCCAGAACCAGTCTACTAATAAGGCCGTGTTTAGAGTGGCTGTAATACAAGCAGTTGTCTGGAAATCAGGAGATTTGGAGTGGATTCCAACTTTCCACAACATGTTGATGGCACTCAACCCATCAGATCTGTTGCCCCTTGATCTGTGTATAAATGAGTGAGGAACGTAAGCATGGCTGAGTGACTGTGACTCAATGTGTGAAAGTGCTCTTATGGGTCTGTCAAAAAATTTACTGGTAAAATACATTTACCTGTAATAGACACTTTTAAAGTCTCCAGTTGTTAACGCAAGTACAAAATTCCCCCCAGACTGGTACGAATAAACGTACCCCAATACACGGATACATGATACTTTTTGCCTCAATTAAAAAAAACCCAGAAAACTGCAGATTCAATCTACTGATTGAAGTGCCTTTAAAAAAGCATTAAAAAGCTTGTCTGTGAAATTACCATTACAAAACACACAACCGTGGATTCTTAGATTTCTAATACTATTGCTGAAATCGTATATTATCTTGTTTCTAGAGCTCAAAACTGCAAAGACGTGAGTGAAATGCAGCACCAATGCTTCAATTTTGAATCTCTGTACTATCTATGTTTAAAATTTATTTTAAAGTATAAAAGGAAGTACTGTTTGCTTTGACAAAATGTACTTAAAGAGTCGCAGATGGGTAAAAACCCCTGTTGTTCTGACAGATTTAAAACATTTCTACAAAATCCTATTGAGTCCAAGTCCAAGTCAAGCGGTGAATCACAGTCAAATTTGTGACTGACAGTCGTTTAATCTAAACTTGGTCTGTCAGACAGCCATGGAGAGAAAAAGTACATTTATCTGTATCTGACTATTTTGTGCTATATTTTCTGCTTCTGTTTTACTCACTGTTTATCACGTATAACGAATCAGAAAATGTACTCAAACTTTCACTTTTCAAGAAAAGGCTGCTAGTGACTGTTTATCGGTAAAACATAATTGTAATCTCTTTAAATGTGTATAGAGGTATCACAAGACAAAGGCCAGTAAGAATCCACCATTTATGCAAAGTAATCACAGACTGGACACAAGCAATTTGTGAGCGCTGTGAGAATACAGCAGCTCAGCAGGTAACAATGCTGCAGCCTGAATCTACTTTGGAGCTTCCCATCGGCACCCAATTAAAGGGCAATTTCAAGGTTTTATTCAAATGGATCTGGGCTGCATTTGATCATCTTTTGTTAAAAAAAAATAACATAATTAAACAAGTCAAAATCGAAGGGGCATATAAGTGGCTCTGTATATAATAACTATGACCGGTATTCTTTTTGTATCTTGGCTCAATAGTTTTGGTCTGTACTGTGACTTTTTTGGGCAAATTTGAGCATCATTTTATATCATGGCGCAAACTTAACAATATTTATATCATCCAATGTAAGACAAAGGAAGAGGTGATTAAAAAGCCATGCTGTTAAAAAAAAAAAAATAAGAAGTGATGAATTAAACATGCCCCACCTGAACAGGGTGTTGTTCTCTGACTGTTTTGCTGGTTTACTGCAATCTCCATGCCCTTCAGGAATGAAACCATAATGCTTCTTGAAACTCTCTGCCCCTTTGGCTACGATGGCGACGCCCTCCCTTACTCTCTGCCGCAAGCTTTTCCTCCACTGGTCCGTGATCACACCGATCACACCTACAGGGAAAGTGGCAGGTGGAGGGCTGTTGGGGTTGCCTACGGCAAGACTGGGGAGGATCCAGATGTAGCCGGGCCCCAGCAGACCCAACTCGCCTGCTAGACGAAACAGGTACTGAGCTTCCTCGTGGGAGCAGTATGCCAACAGGACCTGCGAGTCCAACTGCAAAAAGACGAGAAATCTGCTGTTTATTAAATATGCAGGATGCGGTATCAGATTTATGAACTTCTTCTGGTTCTGTCAAGTCAGTAATATCGCAGTGTTCTGGATGTTTTAACAAATGGACAATTCAGGTTTTGAAATATAAAACCTATAAATGTTTCCCTTTACTACATGATACAATATCCAAAGGGTTTTTGGATTTTACAGAGATCTGACACTTAAAGAGAAGGAAAGAGAAAATCCTCTAATTTTCACTACAAACTTAGTTCTAACAATTATATCATGTGAGCTGCTTTTGTATTGATCAAGTCCTGATTTTATTTACAAAAGAGCTTTGGACTTTGTTTTTTGGGAAGAATAATTGATTTCATATCTGCTGATAATTTCTGTAAATTATTATTATTATTATTATTATTATTATTATTATTATTATTATTATTATTATTAAATGGTGGTGGACAAGCTCTTCAAAACAAATAGTTCAAAGTTTTAAAAGCACGGTTTGTAGGGATATTATAAGCTGTTCAACCCTAAAAGATTTCAGCTCAGAACCTTTACAACACTTTTTGGAAAATTGTTTCCTTTGTAAATGTTTGAATTTTGACACTATAATTTATTTATTTATTTTTATTTCTATAAAATAAATAAATAAATAAATAAATAAATAAATAAATAAATAAATAAATAAATAAATAAAAGACACTTAGCTTTTAAGAAAAGAGATTTATTTATATAGCACCATTTATGCACTGTATTTCATAGTAATCAGTTGAAACATAAAACAGAGATAAAGAAAAAAAAAACATATTTCAGATACATGATTCATATGAACTGGTAGAGAAATCAATCTTTGATTTTTTTATAGATAAGCTGCAGTAATTGGAAACGTTTTCAGTTTGATTTAAAGGTGCCAACAGTTTCTCCATGTTTCAGGTTTTCCAGAGCTGAGAATCAACAAAACCCTCCCTTTGTTTCGTTCACTTTTAGAAACCAGGAGGGAATCGGTGAAACCTCATTGATTGCTTCCACAGAAGCCGACTAACCCAGTGAAAATAAAAGCATGCACACTTTTTTTTGTCCTATTGTTCTAGAAAATCATTATTGTGACAATGTTTTACAGATAGTGACAATGTTAAAATACAGGTCTGAATCCACAATAACGCCAACGTTTCTTGTGCGCTGTGTGGCCTTCAGCCTAATTGAGTCTAGTTGAGTTCAGAAATTTCTAAATCAAACGGACTGATTTTGTGGTGAGAAAACATTAAAAGTTGTGTCACTAGTATGGACAGTGCTATAAAAAGGAAAAAACACTTTCCTTCTCCCAGATTGCTCTGTTGTTGTTACATCCAAAATGTTTCAACTCAAAAACATTTGTTGACACAAAAATCGAGATGTATTGTTGGCAAAAGATAAATCAAAGGTCCACCACCTTGGTGTTACAATGGCTCTCGCTGTGGTTCAACAAAGTCTTAAAACCTTAGAAATTGGTTCTGTATCTTTGATAGTTGTCAATCTTTTATTTTCCCATCTAATCTTGAATTTCTTTAGATTTTGCATAGCAATTATAGACTGGAAAATGATGAGTTTGCTCCATGCTTAAGAACAAGAAGAAAAGAAACTATGATATTCATCTGCTTTCCTATTTCCATGCAGTGTAGTTAACGTTGAGGAAAATATGCAAACTGCTGCTTCACTTTACCTGCTGCAGGATGCGCTTGGTCTTCAAATCATTGGCACCAACTGACATTTCCAGAGACATGATATCCTGCAGATTCCAGAGAAAGTAGGATGTGTCTGTGTAGGACTGAACTAGATCCACAAAGGTGTCGTAGCCCGGCATCAAGCTGGTGATTACAGCAAACTCTGCCCAGTCATACTCCTCCAAGACCTGACAAAGACATGTAAAGGCAGAAAATTACAAATATGATTTGCAGTCTAGTGTCTGAATTACCCCACTCCCCATCCCCTACCCCCAATTATTCTTTATGAAATAGATCAACCTCAGTTAGATTAGCAGGACATCTGTACATATGACTACGTTTGCAAGGCACTGTAATTGTTTCTTTTGGACCAAATTGTGGGATCTCGTTTTTTTTTACATGCTCCAGAATTACTAAATTGTTCCATAATTTCCCAACTGATCTGCTTTCAAGTTTGTCAAAATGAGCTACAACTCGACAAATTATTATGCCCTGCATGATTTTCCGTAAGTGTCAATATAACAAAAGTTGTTGAAAATATTCTGCAAATGTCAACGAGGTGAAATTAGGGTCTGACAGATTTTACCAGGATTGTCCGATTGACTTGGAAACATGTTTTACAACGATGTTATCCAGTCCCATGAGAACATTTACAATCTGCCATGAATCCAGATTGGACTGGTTTGTGGAAATTGGGCCAGGACTTCAAATCAGGGATTCCCCACAGGCTCTTGGGATGTCCCGTCATGGTGTTAATCGGCCTACGAAGGCCTCAGGAGTCATGATTGACCCTTTAATTAATTGTTATGATAACCCTTTTCTTTCTCAAGGGCAGAAAAGAGATTTGGCTGATTGATTTCCGTACCTTGAACATGCAGATGACCTGCTGCTCCAAAGAAGCTCCCATCTGTAGAAAGGAGGATCCTTCAGCCTGTAAAAAACAAACAAAATGCACTGACACAATTCTATGAGTTATCACGAATGCTATCATTTCTCATGTTCTTTTGACTGGACTCCATCGTAAGGCTACAGTGAGTAATTTTGACTGCCTTGTATTATGTCCAGAATAAAGAGGTTGACAAAAGTTCAATAAAATACCATGAATGAATCTGAACCATATTTTAAATGTTGATTTTTGATGAATTGGGTCAGTAATCGAACAATGTTCTAAACATTACAAACAATAAACTTCTAACTATCGACTTATAGGCAATAAACATCTGCTGCAGCACGTGCCCTCCAGCAATAGTGATACAAGTACAAGAGATGCTTTACATGATGAACTTTTGCTCTGAATATAAATTTTACATTTTGCATATTTATTGATGCATTCGATTTACAGAAGCCTGGGATTTTTCATTTTCTGCCTCAGTCTTGTGCAAGTGTGTTCAAAGTGCAAACGCTCAGTCCCGCTGCTCTCTTTCTGTCAAAAAGGGGAGGTCCAACGTTGTTCGTGTCCGCGTGTTTGCATACATTTGCATACCGACTCAGAGTGCATTGACAGGGGAGGGCTTGTTAAACACATTTAACAAGCTTCAGCGTAAAAATGGCAACAAGAGTGAGGGGAGGAGAAATAAATGACAAAGTGGAAACATGACAAGGACGAATCATGAAGCATGAATCATGTGTATTCTTGTCATCCAGCCGTCAGAACCGAAGACACTTTGACAAACAGGGGTGCTTCTAGAAAGTTTTCTAAAGAGGGTGCCAGATGGAGCCGCTGGTGGCTCACCAAAAGATTCAATTAACTTTTTTAAAATATATTTATGATGTGTTTTGAAGTGCTTAATATTATAGTATGAATAACTGTTTATCACATACAGGCTCTGACAAAAATATTAGTAGTTCATATTGGTTAATAGTATTATTGAAGCCCCAGGAACACAGCAGACAGATTACAGGTGAGGCTTTAAAATAAATCCAAAAATGTACTTTTAGGTACATTTTATATTTGTTTTGTGGACATCGCTGGCTCAACGTTCCTTTATAGGTCAAGACATAAACCTCCAGAGGAGCCAATAAAATAATCTTCCTGCAGTCTATCAATCTAAGAAATGTTGCATTCCTATTTATTCAGAAAATATTATGCAGGTATGGTGTTAAGAGGACAAGCAAATAAGAAGAATCATTTTGTCACGTAAAGGAAGAACATAAAACCGAGTCGTAATTAATCAGAATTTCACCTTTCACAAAACATTAGGTCACTCGTAATTATTGTTTGAACAGACGTGTTGTCATAGTGCAAACAAGAATTAACCAAATCATGTCAAGATTTCAAAGCAGGCGGTGCTGATGAAATGTTTTGAATCTCTCAAAGGATTTTACATCTTGAATTTTTTCAGAATCATTTAGAAGGAAATCCCATCAGATAGTACAAATAAAAAAAACTACAACTGTGTACACTGTATGTAAATATAAAGTAGACATACTATTTTTATTGCTCCTGAAAATTCAGAATTATATGCAATAAGATTATCATATATTCAAACAATTTGCAAAAGCTGAAATGGGTATAGTGAATTTGAATTAAGGCAACAAAGTAAACAAACTTCATTTGGTTGAAACCTATTTAAATAAAAAGCTACATCCTCAAGTCTTTCTCATGCTGAAATTATTTGACCTCTTTTCTCTGGGAGTTTGTTCTGTTTTGTGCAGATATGGCATTCAGATTTGAAGTATCAGTGAACATCTATTTTAAAGCCCCATTCAGAGAGACTTGGGTCACTGCCTGACTTTGTTAGAGTTGTCTCACAGCCAGCTGTATATTTTCTGGCGGCATAATTTTTAGTCCATTTCCTCCGTACTCTGACCAGGCTGATTATCACATCAGAGCTGTAGAAAAACACATCTGCTTGATTCAGTGCATTCTGTAGTGTGGAAAGTCATTCATGTTGGAACATGCCCTTCAAAAATGCACTTAGACATGCAGTGAATAAGGCCACAGCTATCTGAGCGTATTGGCAAAACCGATGTAAAGATATAGAAGTATCCAAAGTCTGTGCTTCATATGAGGATTCAGGATAAAGGTTATTTCTCAGCAATGACCTTTTCACCTTCAGACACACTGACCTAATGAAGAAGCGGGGTGGTGGGGTGTAACTGCATGAAGCGACAGTGAAGAAGTTTGCCAATTAACTATGAGGTATCAATGAGGAATCTATTTTTTGTGTTGTGGAGATGGGAAAGAAAGGGAAGGAGGAGAAAAATAAAAGTAACGATGTAGGCAGCACAGCAAGGAGGGGCTGATTACAAATGCACACCACACTTTTCAACTCTTTAATTGTAAAAACATTTGAAAATGATGTGCTATTTCCTTTCAACTTTCACATAAAATCTCTATAAAACACAATTTAGTCTATAGTTGTAACATGACAAAACATAATAAAGTTCAAGGATTCAAGATTAGGGGAAATAAATACGTTCAGCTGTGTTCAGGGTTATTGCAAAGAGTCCGGACACTTATGAGAAAATGATTTTGTGTTAATTTAAATAAATTTATAAAAATATTCTCAATGAGAATATTTTGTTTTTTCTTGCTCTGTTCTCTTTTGCGTGTTTTAATATTACAGTAACACAGAATTAAAAGTGACATTTAGAAAACTTTGAATTATCTAAAAATAAATATGCCTCACTGTCTAGACCAGTGCTTCTCAATTCCAGTCCTCAGGCCCCCCTGGTCTGCATGTTTTAGATGTGGCTCTATTCCAGAACAGTAGATTCAGATGATTGCATGCCCATCAAGTACTGCAGAAGCCTGTTAATCACCCACAGATTCAATCCAGGTGTGTAGCAGAAGGGAAACACCTAAAACATGCAGGACAGGGAGGCCTGAGGACCGGAATTGAGAAACACTGGTCTAGACGGTCTATCCCAGCCTCAAAGTTAACATAGTTTGGGGATCTAAGCAGGCTAATGTTGCTGCAGAACCAGGAGCAGGTCTATGATGTAACAAGGTGTAAGAGAGCATGCAGGGCTTTGACAAGTTTTCATTTTCTGAATTTGATTTGTTAACAGGCAGCTGGTGTAAGAAGATGAACATCAGGCGTAACATCAGTCTTCTTAATCATTCTGAACATGTGTTTGTTCTGTGAGTCAAATATAGGAATATGTGAAGAAGTCGTAAACGTACGTTTAAGAAAGAATGCGTTGGAGAAGGAGTTAAGCCATGGAGCACCCCTAGGGGCGAGGTCTCAGATCTTTTCTTTCTCTTTGTGTCTCATAGGTAGTCACCTATGAGACTACCTGTCATCGCTCCCTTCTGTTGATTTTTCTCTTTCCCACAGTTGAGAGCTTCTGCAAAGCCCAAGAGAGCGCCGCAGCCTGAGGACTACCGCAGGAATATCAGAGCGAGACTCTTCCTCGCTGAATTTCCACAAGCTTTATCTCTGTCTGAGCTTGTTTTGAGGCTCACCTTCGCAGACAAAGTGGCAACCAGACCACTGGCTGGACTTTGCATCAGAATAGCTCATAAAAAAAAAGTAGCAGAACACAGGCATATCAGGCTGTTACTAAATAAATAAAAAATGGACTGGCAGCTGGAGTTCACTGTAGTGCCCTACTTCAGCTGACATATGAGAAAACTGCTGAGGTGCATCATTTTAATGGCTATTAGACATGTTTGAGCTTTTACACAAACTATTAATCTGATAAAACCTTTGGTCTGCTCGCTTTTATGTCTGTCTAATTAAAGCGAAAATCAGACTTATTCCAGGATTTTCGCTTTCACTCAGCCGGTTGTGGATTCTAATAGGAATTACAACAAAGTGACCTTCTTTTCCACATCTGCCTCTCACAGGAGCACATCCACATGAAGAAACAAGAGTTCGCCCTCACCTCCTCTCATCTATCCCTCCCAGCCGTCACGTTGCCGCCACCTTGGCAGCGCGGCTGTCACACGCAGGCGTAATTAGCAGTCTTACTGCAGGAGCGTATGGTAATGTGACAGGAAGACCGTGGACATGGTGGCTGCTTGCATACTCCTTCCCTCCCAGGGGGGGGTAGCTTTGTGCTGTCGAACTTCAGGCAGATCTTTTTTCGCAATCGACTGCATTGATCCGTTTGTGATTTTCAAGGAATAAAACTGTGATTGTTTTCGGTAAACTGGGTCACAGACATTTCAAGAAGCTTCGCTTCGTTGATAGAGAAGCAGGGTTTTACAATAACCATTACGAAAAGTCTTTGCCAGACTCAGCATGATATTTTGTGCTTTTTTTGTTTTTATCCAGATTTATCTGTTTCATCTGTAGAAGTTGTAATTTACCACAGAGTATGTTTCTCTAGCTAAGTTTACACATTTTCTCTCCACATCACTTTACTCAGACTTCTGACTGTAGTTCTTTTGCCAATATACAGCCTGGAGCACACAGTAAATACAATGGTTTGAATGGATTGTTTCAATTCGAATATTGCCGGTGAAACTATCAATTGATTATGCAATTAAATTAGAAACTGGAAATAGTTTTATGAATTATCATCATGTAGTTAATCTTAAATAAAAACATTCCTTATGTAAATGTGGAAAACTTAATGGGTGCTGCAATTTGCAAACTCCTGGTGGAACTGTGAGTCTGCAAAAGCCTATAATACGAACTACTTCTCAGTGCAACGCTCCAAAGAAGAGTTGTAAACGGCATTGTAAAGGAACGCTGTTGTGATGACATTCTGAAGATGGAGCAGGAGCTCCTTAAAGAGACAGACACCCAATTTCAAGGTGTCAAATTGTGAAGTCGAATTTTGTTTAAGCTAAGTTTGATATGTCCAGCTTTTCCTTAACAACTGAAGGTGACATGGTTAATTGATTGTGCTAAAAATTACACTATGTACCTGGAAAACACCGTACATTATACTCCAGGTCACCCCTTTAAGAATACACACATAAACATATTACTTGGACGTTTTGTTACATTTCAACCACAAACATAAATGTATTTT